CATATTTGTTTGTCACCTCAGTGGTGTGTTCTTTGTAAAGAGAATGGGGATACTGGTTTTCACCTACTGGTGTCTTGCCATTTTGCGATGTCAATTTGGGGATGGGCTTTGTCCTTATTTGGATGTAGTTGGAATACCCCATTAGACTTGCAAGGCCTTTTTTCCCCTTCTCTTTTCAGGTGGCGGATAAAAAGGGGAAAGACAATGTGAAGATGACTAAGGACTGCAATATGTTGGACACTTTGGGAATAAATAAACTCTAGGATATTCTCAAAAGCTCAGAGATGAGCAACAGATCTGAGGGATATCATTCATATTAGGGCGATACAGTGGCTGAAATCTTTGGAGCTTTTCACAAATTACACTATAGATGACATGTTGAGGAAGTGGAGTCAAATTGCAAATTGCACACAGACTAAGTCAGTAATGAGTGTAGCTTTGACCCCTCCACTTAGTGGATTCGTGAAACTAAACTTTGATGGGTGTAGCAGGGAAAATCCGGGACAATCGGGGATTGAGGGTGTTTTTAGGGATGAAAATGGGGTTATTTCTGCTATGTTCTCTGGCCCAATTGGAGTGGGTGACTCCCTTATAGCAGAGATCTTTGCAGTTATGGAAGGAGTACTGAAAGCTAAGGAGTTGAACATCAAGAAACTCTTAATTGAAGGGGATTCAGAGGTGGTGATAGGGTGGCTGATTAAAGATCACAATGGCTTATGGAAGTACAATAATGAGAGGAGGAAATTCAAGTGGCTGGTGCRGGAGATGGAAGTTAAGATACTTTGGGTTAAAAGATCGACTAATTTCCTAACTGACGATTTAGCTAAACAAGGGGCAGAAATGGATTCACTTTTTTGGGCTAAGCTGTAACTATAGTGTGTTTTCTTTCTTTTTTTCTTTTSTTGAGGTTCTTTGTTGCTCTTGGAAGATAAGCGTGTTTGTCTTCCTATTGTAAATCTTCTTTTGATGAGTTAATGAAAGTGTTATTGATAAAAAAAAAAGTATAAGACATGTCTTCTGCAATTGTGAAATTTATAATTGCTTATTCTGCAATAAAACATAATTGTTTAAAAAATGCCCCTTCTATAGAGAGTGGAGTTAACCACTTCCACCTTTTTTAGAATATATATATATATATATATATATATATATATATATATATATATATGTGGTTTTTTATCTAAAATTGGGGCCCACATTATATAAAACCTTGATAGTGACTCTTTTATTTGAATTAGAAAGATTAATATGGCCCAAAATGGGTTGGGCATTAAGTCCAATGGAAGCACTGATTTTGGGTCATATTAATAACTTATTTTTGGAAATAAAAGTTATTATTTATTATTTTTATTAAAAATTAATGTTAAAACTAATATCTTTTATGATTTTTTAACTTTTTTATTAAATTTGCATTAATTAGTATTAATTTTATTAAGTTATTAACATAATTAATTAACTTATTACAATGGATTGTTATACCGGTGGTTAGTATTTTAATGGGCCGTCATAGTCATTTTTTCTTTTAATCTTCAATATTTAAACATCATGTAATAAGGATACATGCATTATGATTGGACTTGTAGTCTTGTACGGGAGGGAGAAGCCAAGTAGTGAACAATGAGCAACACAGCATTGGGTAAGCTAGTTATTTAATTATGAACAATGGATGTTATCATGACAACGACCACGTAGTTAAACATACCATCCTAAATTGGATTAAATGAAACACATAAAGAAAATATGGTTGTCTGCCTATAGTGTCAATTAAGGTACGAAGCAATTCTTAGGGGGCATTTTTTTTTTTTTGGATTTTGAGAGGGGGGAAAGTTGACCAATGGGATTTTGGTTCAAATTGACCAAGAATCTCATGTTTTTTTTTTTAAAATTAACGTGAGGACCAGGGAAAGTTTATTTTTCTGGGTATCATTTACCCGGGATCCTAGGTGGGTAAATAACTTTTCTGCCTGGGGGAAGATTCCAATACTTGAATGGGACAAAAATTCCCCATTTAATAATAGATTTTTTTGGCTAAAATGGTTATTTCCTTTTTTACTTGAGAAATAAAAGAACATGGGTAAATACACTTACCCAGGTAACTGCATTTACCTAGGTATGTAACTTATCGAAAAGCGAACGGGGCCTTAGAGACACAGAAAACAACTTAAAATACAACTATTAAGTAATAACAGTTAAACAACATAGTGGAATCTACTCGTGCAAGTAGATTCTCACGTGAGAGCAACCCATTTCCTATTATATCTAATTATATAAATATATAATAGTTATTATAAATATTTTTAATAACTAGATATTGAACCATTAGAATGGTTTTGACCATTTTTTTGTCAGACGGGTCGATCGTTCGATTCAAACAGTCGAACCATTTGACCCGATAATCGGACCCCTGACTAGTTTGGTCTCCGGGTTGGTTTTAAAAACCATGATGTTATGTCATTCGAGCGTGTGACTCATATGACCCGAAAATGGAACCATTTTGGCCACAAGTTTGACCACCTGATTCGAACAGATGACCCATTTTGACAAAAAAAAAGCCAAAACCCATTGAACGGGTCAACGGGTTGACAGTTCGACCACTCGGGTCAATGGGCCATTGACCGATTCAATGGTTTTTGGCCAAGGACCGGGATTGGGGTAGAACGGAACTGGTTGCCTGGATGGTTCCCAATTAAAAAAAAAAATAGACAACCCATTTTGACAACAAAAATTACAGGCAAAAAATTGAATGTGTGAAGTCCATTAAGAAGTACCATATGTGTTATGTCATTCGAGCGTGTAACTCATACGACATGAAAATGAAACTGTTATGGCCACTGGTTTTTGGGTCGACGGTTCAATTTGAATGGCTGGCCCATTTTGACAAAAAAATTAACAAAATAAAAAAATCTAAAAACCATTGAACGGGTCAATGGTTTGTTGACGGATTCAATGATTTTTGGCCAGGGACCGAGATTAGGATAAAACAGAACCGTTTGCCTGAATGGTTTCCAATTAAAAAATAAATAAAAAACGACCAAAAACCATTGGATGAGTCAACGGGTCGATGGTTTGAATGCTTGGATCAATGGGTTGTTGACTAATTCAACGATTTTTGACCAAAGACCAGGTCAATAAGTCAACGATTCCATTCCAACCCCTGCGAAACAGGGCCTCTCCGCTAGTTTTGTATTATTTTGTATGTCTGCCAAACTGAGCCTTATAAAAAATTTTACTATGGGCTTGATGGAGGATTGAAAAATGCCACTTAAGTCAACATATGGGGTAAGGCTGGTGGAAAATTTGTCATCTTCCATGCCAATAAATTAATCAAGATAGATGCGTTTAGAAATGAGGTCTAGGACCGGGTTTAGAATTTTATTTTTTAAATTCAATATATTTTTCATACACGTAAGTCAAGTGTTTGTTAGTTGTTTTTTTTTTTTTTTAATTCAATATATTTTTCATACACGTAAGTTAAGTGTTTGTTAGTTGTGAGGTAAATGCAAGTAAGGGTGTCAATGGACCGTTTTGGGCCAGACCCCATCCACTCCAAAATCAATTTAGATGGATTGGATGGACTAATAATACATATTGGGTTGGACCAATTCGATAAAAATTATTTATTAGATTAGACCGGACCTGGTCTATTCATAATAAATTTATATTGGATTCAATTGGATTAAGTTAATATCTGGCTCACTGATATAAAATGAGAATATAGGTGTCAATGGACCGGGTTTAGGTTGAAGCCTATCTAATTTAAAATGAATTTGAACAGATTGGATGGTCCAAATATTGAATTAGACTGATCCAAAATGGTTCAAAATATTCATTGGATTGGATTGGACCTGATCCATTTGTAATAGACTTGCATTGGGTTGGACCAAATCCAGTCCAATTGACACCCCTAAATACAAGTTTTAAATAATGCAACACTAGTTAAAAGCTTAAGCAGAATTATAGTATCGGCTGCAAGTATATACACAATCAAAATTCACAGATGGATTTGATTGATCAAAACTCTTTTAATATCACGTCTTTACAACATCATAGGTTTTTCCTTAATTAATAAATTTATATGCCAAACATAGATGCATATATATTTACATATAAAATAAATTTATATGCCAAAAATATGTACACGCATACGTACCTGCATACATGTATAAAATATAATAAATTAGTAATCAATAAAATATAACAAGGAAAAGAACTGAAGATATGTACATTTTAGTTATATAAACAAAAAATTAACTATAAAATGGTGTGAACCTGCATAAATGAGTTTAGATCGAGTCGGGTCCCAAGATAGGTCCCAATAGCCATCACAGCCATAATCGGAAATATCTTGTCAAGAAAGACAAGGATGTTCTCAATGCATTGATTATTGTGATCCTGTGTTGAAATGTTTCATGGTTGAGATATGGTAGAGGCATGTTCTTTGGGGAGCCAATGTGAATTCTCATAGATGGATCTCACTATCATGGCCCTTAAATAACAAATACTTTCAAAAGAAAATTCCCATAGGTTCCTCCTCCTTATTCAAGCCTTATATCCCAACAATATGGGTGGGCTGTCATTGCCATTTTAGCATTTCTCTCTCCCAAATCCTTTTTTTTTTTTAAATTTTTCCACAAGAGTCCATATTATAACTTAAAATTACTAAAATGCCCACAAACTAGGGAGGCGCAACTTGGATGGGCTGGGTAGGGCATTTGTTAAATATGGGTGTGGATAAGGCTCCAGGCCCACTATGAATTGATCATTAACTATTTGAAGACGTGTCAGTTTGTAACAACTCTTACGAGTCACACGACTCACGAGGACACCACACCACTGAGATTGTCATTAACCTCGTGAGTCGTGACTCCTTTTTGGTGGGCGCCGAATTACACCGGTGCACGTTAGTTAAAAATCGGTTAACAACTCCCAACTTACGCCGGCTAGCAGCCATTTCCGCGCTTTCGGAAGATCCAATGATCCATTTCACTTTCCAGTCCCGCGGCCAATCCCACCACACCTCGCAGTAGCGTGAAGGAAGGATTGCATTTTCTCAAAAATCCCATCTTCTTTTGTTGTAAAGGCGAATATTTCCCCACACTTCCCAATACAGAGGACGTGTTCGTCATTAGGAAAAAAAGCGTAACCTTCTCTTGGAAATAAAACTTCCCTTGTTCGTCGTATTTATATGTCGAACTGCAGACATCGACCGATCGACGAATTTAACTCTTCTTCTCATCTGTGTCCTCGAATCCAGACTGTATCCGTTAAAAATTACTGAATTTGATTCTCTCTATTATCCAACCCGTCTTTGATTCTTTGATTTTCAACTCGATCTGTTAAACCCTAAATTAATAGGAAAAGTCGAGGTTTTGGGGGGGTTTTTGGCACTTCTTTGTTTGCTCAAGTCTTTCAAATTTGGATGCAAAATGTGGAATTTTGGGTTTTAGTGGTGAATTTGGAATTCCATTTTGGGAGGATTTGGGGTTGAAGGGTGTTGCATTTTGGGGGATTCTTTGTGCTGGATTATTTGGAAATGGAGGCAATGACGCAAGCGAGGTTTATGCTGGGGAAGCAGTCATCGCTTAAGCCACTAGAACGGGACGATGAATCGATGGCTGCTCATGAAGAAGAACAAATTCCGGAAGTTCTTGATTCCACTTTCCGGCTCATGTATCTTGCCAACGAAGGTGACCTTGAAGGGATCGAGGAACTGTTGGATTCAGGAGTCGATGTGAATTTCAAGGACATTGATGGAAGGACAGCTCTGCATATCGCTGCTTGCCAGGGGCGTACCGATGTTGTCGAATTGTTGCTTCGCAGAGGCGCTGCTGTAGATCCGAAGGATCGATGGGGCAGCACAGTATGTTTATTCGACTTTTTTGATTTCTCGACCAGGATGACTTCTTTTTTCTTAGTTAATTATGATTAATATATACTATACACTACGAGGACCAATAAATGAAGATATTTTCTTGATAATATCATGGAATATGTTCTTTTTTTTTGTATTTATTTTTGGGTTAATTGAATTAAGTCACGATATGTAAGCCTGTGTATCCTAATTTTACTTGAGCTGGGCTTATCATCAAGAGTTTTGATATATTTACTTTCTACAAGAATGGCAATTTGCTTTGGGAGTTTGACTGGAAATGAATAATGTTGACCATGTTTTCTCTTTCATTTATGGAGGTGGAGGTGGCAAAAGAAGCATCAGCTACTTGTCTTTTTTGTGGCAACTTCGGCATTAAAATGCCATTGGGCGTGTTGCTTCTTGTGTGACTGCTGCAGTAAAATTACATATATCTGATATGAGTGTCTCTTCTTCTTAAATCCTAGTAATTGGTTCACTTTGATTCTGGAACCAAATGAGTTGTTTTTAAGAAGCTTCAATTGGATAAGGTTTCTTTTAGGAAATGATACAACATTTAAGTGCAAAGATTAAATCATCTTGCTGGAACCAAATGAGTTGTTTACTTGTTTTTAAGAAGCTTCATTTTTGTTATTCCCTCTGGAAGACAGAATTATCTTATTAAGCTTCCCATGCCTGTGGAGTAATTTACTTTTGCTTAAGTTGTCCTATGAAAGATTAAATCATCTTGCTGGATTTGCAAATACTTCCGTTATAATTTAATATTCCTTAAACAGCCTCTTGCAGATGCGATATATTACAAATATCATGATGTTATCAAGCTTTTGGAGAAATATGGTGCAAAGCCTTTGGTATGAGTCGCAATTTTTATCATCCTCTTGGAATGTATTATTCGAATCAACTTGAGTATGTGTTTAAAATATTCTTGAAATAACTTCAGATGGCCCCTATGCAAGTCTACAATGCCCGCGAAGTTCCAGAATATGAGATTGACCCCAAAGAGCTTGACTTTACTAACAGTGTTGAAATAACTAAGGTACTTGGACCTATTCTCTTTCTTAGTTGTTAATTTAACACTTGTTTATCTTTTCATGGTTGTTTAAAAGTGTTAGAGAACTTATTACTGTCCTTACTGTTGTTTTTACATTATTTTGTTCACTAGAATGGGCTTTTGTGATCAAGGAATATTCAGTTTGTATGTGTAATGCCTGCATGCATATGGTCAATGGCCAGGAAGGAGTTTTATATCTAAGAGCTGATCTAAAAAAACTCTTCAGTCTTCACTCAATATAATGGTTAATTCTGTTTAAAATCTTGCCCCTCTTTGATCACGGGACTCTCAGGACCAAACCCTAAATTTTCAAATGGCAGGGTTTTCCCTTGCTATCCTGCATAACATTCAGGAGAATATGACTGATTATCTTAATATTGAATAATTTGAACGATAAACTTGTGCTTTATTATCCTAATGGGGGTACGGATATGTCTACTCAGTTTTGGTTATTCCATGATAACCATTGTAAATTTCACTATGCTATCCCACTGGAGTAATAAAAAATATGTTCAACCTGTTATTGGCTTTGACATCATCCTACAGTCTGACGGGTTCTTGATTTTTATTTGTCTGGAAAAGTTATTCAGCATTTTTGTCTCATATGATGTTTGGCTTATGTGATTGGCTTGTTTCAACCATTGTAGCTTAGAATTGTCACTTGCCAGGTTATATCACCCTGTAAATCACTGATAGCTGGTCTGTCCTCAATCTATAGTGAAGAAATAAGATCCACGCTAATCTAAAGTAGAACTCTGTAAGTGCTAAATTGACCTACACGGCAAACACGCTTTTACTAGTTGACCAGGACTGCAACAGGTTTGGGTAAAACCATGGTTTAAGGTATCGATACACCCGATATGCACAAACAGGCATATCAGGTGTTTCACTACTTAATAACTTTGCTTTTTTAGTTTTTTTCTTTCTTTTTTTTTCTCAAAATTGCACCAGGGGGTTGGTTTTAAGCATGCCTACCCCCTGAAAATGGTCAAAGTCTGAAACACCTTGTATTTGGGGTTTTGGACAGCTCCCAATACGATACGATATGATACGCCTGATACAGGGTGTATCATATCGAAAATTTGAACCCTGTTCAGGCGTATCATATTGAAAAATTGAACCCTGGGTAAAACTGTCTGGTCTAAGGCTGTGTTTGGTTTGAAGAAAAAAAGTAGGGAAAGATAGGGAAACCTATACAAGGTTTGTATATGTTTCCCTACCTTTCCCTTCCTTTCCCCAACTTTTCCTTCAAACCAAACATAGCGTAAGTTCATTGCTGGTTGCACATCTCAGAAACTTCTTATGAGCTTCCTGGCATGCAAATTGGTTTCAGAAGTTCTTTTCTTTTGTTTTACCTTACATTTTTATAATTTCCAGCCATCTTGTAATTTGGTTTCTGCATACTGTGGCTCATATCTGAGTCAATAAAGTGCCTCATAATCCGTACCCATTCTCATATGTTATTAATTGATGTGTTGACAAGATGTTATTCTTTTTTAAGAACATGGAGTTCTCTTGTAATTTTGATGATCCATGCTGTTCCATGTTCCAGTTGACCTTTTCTCTTAATGTTTTATAACTTGTTAGTTGTGACATTCTTGGTGGAAGTTTGATTCACAATTTTGGGCTTACCTGAATTTTCGACTGTTCTAACTCATGATTCTTTGAGTATGCAATTATGCATCATTTTCATTTTCAAACTGGAAAATTGCAATACCTTATAGTCTTTATTTGTAACCTGCAAATAATGCATTATTGGAGCAGAATGTCCATTAGTCTACTGACAATTGGAAATCATAGTTTTCAAGGCGCCAAGGCAAGGCTAGGCGACTGGGGGGCGCCTTGTCGCCTAGGCGATGGATTTTTTATGTTAAAAACATAGATCCTAGGGTAGTTCCCTAGGTACCATAACCATATTTCTTTAATAATTATTCCTGATTTTCATAAGAAAAGTACAACTTTCATATTAAAGTATAGAAAATCAACATATTCATGAGAAGAAAAGGAAGAAGGAAAATAAAATTCAAAAAATATAGGGGCCGAACCCTTATTTTTGTTATAGGAAAAGAAGAAAATAAAAAGTATTGGTAGTAGTAGTAGTAGTAGTAGTAGAAGCATTTAAGTCTTTGAGGGTTCAATACAGCATTTAGCAATGTTTGTGTTGATTAAACCCTAATAAATAAGAAAATAATAAAAAGAAATTAGTATATAAACACACAAAATGATTATTTTAGTTTAATGATGTCTATTTTATAATTATAATCTCAAAGAAGAATGAATAAAATAGTATTTTATAGTAGGAAGTAGAAAAACTGCTAGGCGATTAGGTGAGGCAAGCCTCAAAGGGCGCCTTGTCGCCTAGGTGAGGCGCCCGCCTAGGCATCGCCTTGACAACTATGTTGGAAATAAGTCCATATCATTTCTTATTGTTTTGATATGATACTGTACAAACAGTTGCCAGGGGAAAAAAGGAAAAATCAAGCAGGCAGTTTAAATGTTTAATATGCTTCTTTATGTGAATATTGCTTTACTTATGTAACTAAGAAGTTGCTGATACCAATAATAGTATTACACATACTGGAGTTTCTGGTCTGCATATTCCACAAATGTCCTACCCTTTATGTTTTTTATCTGTGTCTAGAAATTTTGTAAGGTTTACCTTGATGTTTTGCAGTTGAGCACGTGATCAAAGTTGTTTGGTTATTTTTTTCTTGCATTTCAGTCCAAATAAATTGTTCAATGTGAAAAGGATTAATGTTTTAGCCATATCACTATTGTCTTTGGCTGCTTATTTTATAATTTTATTACATTTATATATTATATGTCACAGGGAACCTTCCGTATTGCAATATGGCGTGGAACCCAAGTTGCTGTCAAAAAGCTTGGGGATGATGTGATAACTGATGAAGATAAAGTGTAGGTTGCTCACGCTATGGGTGGATTAAAAATGTTTCGTTATTTATCTTTTTTGATTGGCTGTTTCATTACTATCTTTACCAATTTCCTTTGTAAACCTGATTTTTATCATTAATAAAATTTCACTGTTACTGATAAAAAAAAATATCTTTACCAATTTGGTGTCTGTTGGTTTTACAGAACGGCATTTAGGGATGAGCTCACATTGCTTCAGAAGATACGACATCCAAATGTGGTCCAGTTTCTGGGTGCTGTAACACAGAGTAGTCCAATGATGATTGTCACTGAATATTTACCCAAGGTTTTCCTTTCTATTTGAGTTACTGGTGCTAGGATTAATTTAAACTTAAAGCATTGACTACTGAAATTTCCATTGATTGGTCATCTTTTGAATCTTGGGTGTTCCTACCAAAATCTTTTTGAAGGTGATAGCAATGTTTCTTTTATCTTCACAACTATTTGTTTGCATTGCCTGTTTAAAATTCATCTGAAGGCATCAACTATCACTTTTTTCTTTCTCATCTTCAACTTCTGATTTAAGAAGTCCAGACTTGTAAATTTGAAATAAATTATACATGATTCATCTTTGTTCCTATTACTTTTCCCCCGATAAATGATGCTAAAGTTGCATTGAGATTCAAGTTGAAAGGGGTGAACCCTAATACAACTATCACAAGGTTGACATCTGATCCATGTATAATATAGGTAGGGGGGAATTGAATTTCATCTGACCCAGATTTGCCTATTTTACCCATACTTTAAAGTATTTCTGTCAATGCAACTTTAAAGTGTCAGGGTAATAAAGCATTGGCATCTCTTCTTACCCCCTTTGAAATTCACTTCCACCCCAATGTATTAAAAGTTATTAACACACACTTTTGGGGTGGGGAGAGATCAACTCATTTGGGCACAATTATAAGAAAAAGGAAAGTTTTTATTTTTTTTTTTTTTTAGGGGAGAGATAAGTGGTTTTATCCCTCTTTGAATGTATTCTCAATCTGTGCTCATAGTTTATAAATAATTCCTTGGAAGATTTAGCCGATGGTGAGATGGGTGCAATCTGTGGCAACCATTTTGAATAGGTCATTCAGTTGGGTGCCAAGGAGTGCCTACAGTTTAGCTGATTCTTTAGCAAGGGCTGGGATTCTAAGAAGTCATGTAGAATGGGGTTGTCCATGGCTTGGGAGCACTTTGTAACAACTTGTAATTGTTACTCTTTTTCATGTATTGTGTTGTTTCCGTTGTTGCCGTCTAGTGCTCCATTATATGGAGCTTCACTTATATTTCTTGGCTTGCTGCTCTATTTGTGAGTTGGCTGGCGTTTTTAATTAATGAATTATGAATTATTTCTGTTGCTATTTAATCCATTGTTGTCAAGGTATAATGTAAGACTCTGCTTAGGTGACAAAGCACCCTTGGAGGGGGGAGGGGCTAGCCTAAATGTCATAAGTTATATCAAGAGGGTGCCCATCTAGGTGACACGGTGTCCATCTGGGAGAAAAAAACTATAAAGCAAGTTTCTTATTATAATATTGTGGGTATAACTAACTAGTATGTCTGTTGTAAAAGCAAAAGAAAAGGGACAAAAGAGGAGGGGTAGTTCCATGCTCGATCCAATTATAACTTGATTAAATTTAGATTGCCTTAATTAGATTGGATTTTGAATTTGCAGCTCTAATTGATTTTAGTCTAAATTAAATAATAGTTAATCCAACATTTCTATATTCTAATAAATATTAAGTAGACATCTTTAATGTTTAATAATGGCAAAATCTTGGTAATCAATACTTTATACTAATATATGTCGTACTCATATAAAATCTTATATTTGGAAGTTCAAACATAATTAGTTATTTGGTTTACTGGTTGAGGTGTAAGAGTTTCATGTTTTGAGATTTTGTGTTCAAGTAATGGAAGCTTAAAAGTTGATACAATTGTTGATACTTTCCTTGAGGCTGACTAGCAACTTTTGTATTTTTGTAAAATCTGAAAGGAACTGAATTGCCAATGAAAAAGAGAAATAAAAAAGAAAGCTGAATGGTGGAAGCTTCCACAGTACTTCATGCAGTTTATGAAGACCATATGTGTGCCACTGTTTCAATATATGTCGAATGCTGGTAAATAATGAGTTTATGCAACTTTTGTATTCTTTGTACTAAATACATAGTCGGGTCCATGAAAAGACACTAAATGCAAAATTGGACATTGCTTTTTATGGGTCTCATCCTGTCTATAGGACAAAGAAAATCAAGAGTTGTGTAAACTTGTAGATAAGTACTTAAGTAGCATTTATTTTCAACAAACATTACAATTGTCTTCTCTTTATTAAAACATCCCTCTTATTGACTTAAAAGAAATAAAAAGCTTTGCATTGGATTTGTTGGTTAATGATTTTGTGCTTATGTTTATAAATAGTGTTTTTAAGAAGCATTGGAGAATTGACATTTCTCATAAGCATGGATGTAAATTGTGGAAAGAAAAGGGATATTCAAGTTTGTTTTCGTTTTTCTTTCTGAATGCAGAAAACAACACCAGTCTTTTTATTCTTTACCTCATCCTGGGTGTGGTGCAGGGTGATCTTCGTGCATTCTTGAAAAGAAAAGGAGCATTGAAGCCAATGACAGCAATCAGATTCGCACTTGACATTGCAAGGTATATTCACTGGTTTATATGGAGCATCCAATGTTTTTAACCCGCTGTTGACCTGGATGGTTGAATTGTTTGAACCATCACCTGGGCAGTTTTCTTTTTTGAGAATATAAAAAAAACTGTCACCTGGACAGTTTTCTGGGTCTGTTTTTTCTAGAAGTGGGAAATTGACCAAATACCATTGACTTGATCAAAACCCATCTGACCTGGGTGGTTGAACAGTTGACCCATTTGACCCAGTCACCGGGTCACAGGTTACAAATTACATGTGTATCAAAATTTCTGGAGGCCATAACTTTGTGCCCGGTTGGTTGATTGGGGTGATCTTTTTGATTTTGGGTAACTTAACGAGATCTATGCATTCCGAGGTGCTGCCCCACTATTTTTGCTAAAAAACCCTTTTTAGCCTCAAATCCAAATTTTTAGCATTTTTATAAATAAAAAAATAAATACTAAAAACTGAAAATTATCAAAAAATGAAAAACTGAAATGAAAATATAAATTAGTCATAAAATAATACATATATTACATGTAGAATAGTCTGACCTGTCCGACCTGGATGGTTGAACTGCTGACCTGTGACTTGTTGGCAAAAATGGTTCAGCCTCCGGGTCATTTTTTAAAACACTGGCAGCGTCATGCATAAGCAATGGACCTCTATCTTATAAGTTGCAAATTAAATGGTTTTCTCCATGTTTGCTAGTACTGAGCTAGATACATAAATGTTCATGCATTATGTATGTAAGCATATAAACTATGCATATCAATGTGGGGATGTGTAAGGGCTGCAGTCGTTTGGATGATTTGGGAGGAGAGAAATGAAAAACTCTTTCCTGAGAAGGAAAGGAGTGAGGGTGCATTGATGAACTGCATTTTGAATAGGGTTTACATTGGGTTAAAACCTTAGACGTTTTTTCTCAAATTTCTTATGATGACTTATGGAGGAATTGGGAAGTTGTGGCAAAGAGTTCAGCAAACAAGAAAAAGGTTTCCTCAGTTTGTTCACCGCCTGAAGAAGGCTTTCTAAAATTAGACTTTTGATGGAAGTTGTCAAGGAAACCTGGAACCATCTGGAATAGGAGCATTCAGAAATTAAGAGGAATATGTCATTGCATTATTCTTGGGTTCAACTGGATTAGGATATTCCATTAGAGAGAGAGAGTTTCAGGCAATGTTACAAGGGGTATAGTTAGCAAGAGATTTGAACTTTGACAGATTGATTATTGAAGTGGATTCTAAGCTGGTTGTATGCTGGATAAAGGACCTGGACACAATAATATGGACATATAGAGAGGACGTTAAGAGATTCAAGTGGGTAATTACCAATGTGGTTGTGAGTAGGGGTTCAATAAACCAGTTTTGGGTTGGATTCCATCCAAATCAAAAACAATTTGGACGGATTGGACAGACCAATAAGACATATTGAACTGGACCAGTCCAAACTTAATGGTCCAAAGTATTTATTGGATTGGATTGGACCTGGTCCATCCACAATGGATTTATATTGGATTGGATCAAATTGAACCAATATCTGGTCCATTGATAGAAGATAAGAATACAGGTGTCAATGGACCAGGTTTGGATTGGAACAAATCTAAATTAAAACCAATTTGAAAGATCGAACGGTCTAGACATTGAATTGGACCACTCCAAAATAGTTTGAAGTATTCATTGGATTGGACCTGGTCCATTTGTAATGGATTCATAGTGGACCAGATCGAATTGGACCAAATCTGGTCCAATTAACACCCCTAGTTGTGGGGATCAATGAGAAAGGATATCGGCAAATGGGATGGCAGACACTCTAGCTAAGCAAAGGGTGAATAGGGTTCATTTGTAATATTTTGTGTGTGAGGATGCACCTCATGCTTCTGTTTGGCATGTTTAGCATGCTTGTATTCTCTTGTTATTGATATTTAATTAATAAAAAAGCTGGCTCCTTCTCTTGTTCATCCTTTAAGTCTCTTTTCTCCACTACATCCTCTTCGATGTTTGCAGTTAAAGAAATTTGGTCAAGGCCTATTCCACCTAAAATAGCTGGTTTTTGTTAGGAAGTTTAATACGATAAAATCAATATTGTGGATAACTTGCTAAAGAAGAGACCTTATTTATGCTTGCCCCCCCAACTGGTGTACTTTATGTAAAGTGTAGAATGAATGTTGTCACCTACTGATTTCCTGATCCTTCATTGCAGATATTTGGAATTGGGTTTTTACGTTGTTTGGGTGTAGGTGGAACTTGCCATCTGAAGTAAATCTGCTTTTTTACCTGTCTACTTTTGGGTGGCCAACAAAGAGAGGGAAACTAACGTATCAGGGAAGCTCTCTTATGGACCATTTGGGAGGAAAGGAATGCTAGAATATTCCAAGCTAAGGAGAGAAGCCATGCTAAATAAAGGAGTGTATACTGGCAAGGGCAATCCTTTGGTTAAAAACTACTGATCTATTTGTGGATTACTGTAGTGATGACCTTTGAAGGAGTTGGTTAGCAGTGGCTTCCACTTCCTCCAAAAAAATAAAACACAAGCAAAGTGGTTACCCCCTCTGGAGGGGGTTATAAAGTTGAACTTTGATGAGAGCAATCAAGGCAATCCAGGACCTTTGGGCATAGGAGGGATCTTCAGGAATAAGGATAGTAACATTCTTTTCTTATTTTCAGGTCCAGTGGCATTTGGAGACTCTACAAGGGCTGAGTTACTAGCTGCGGTACAAGGATTACAGATTGCCAACCAACTTGGAGTGAATAATTTGATAATTGAGGGAGACTCTAAGGTAGTAGTGGGATGGCTGTCGGACCCGGATGCTGTTGTTTGGGGTTACATGGATATCCTCAAAAAAAGTTAAATGGCTTAGAAGAACATGCCAGTTAGATTTCAGTTGGTTAGCAGATCGGCCAATGCCATAGTAGATTCTCTAGCTAAACAAGGGGATTCAAGGGTTTCTCTGTTTTGGGCTACTTTGTAAACTGTAATCTAAGAAGAGTGGGATTGGAATCATCTTTAAGGAGAGATAACATCTCGTGCCTCCTCTTAGGGTGATTGTACTATTTCTATATCCATTTAATAAAAACACCATTTGTTCATAAAAAATTCTACAGTTATAAAAAAAAGCCATATCAATGTGTGAAAACCATCAGAGAACATTTCACGATAATTTTGCAGTGGTATTAAGAAGCTCACCATGGCACTATCTCCTTTTCTGTATCCATAAATTTACACGGTTAAAACAAATAATATCAGTCCTCTTTATGGTACTAAAAATATGCCTAAGCTTTGAATGCTTTAAAAAAGCTGAAAAAATTTTTAGAATGTATTGCAATCTAAAATAAGATAGGCCAGAGTGAAGCATTGGCTTGACCCTTTAATTTGTTATGACAGGATTTCAGGATGAGTTACAATTCACTGAAATGAATACTAAGTTATTTAATTTACCAATTAGAAGCGACAATGTGGATAAAGAGACATCCCATTTTGGTTGTGGAGTCAAGAGCCAAATCCAATATATGTCTATCCCTAATTTTGAGAAGGAATATTTGAATTTTGATTTATAAATATTTAAACAACCTCGTAATCATTTTAGATGTGAACAATAATTCTCTAATACAAACCAATAAAGGTAAAAATCTGATATTGTTTACTATTCCGTTATGTTGGTTGTGTTCCTTGTGATTCCTCGAGAAACTCTTTCAGTAATCAGTAACAACTTAGGGATAGAAGAGAAAAAGGAAAACTAGAATATTCATTTATAAATTATCTTTGGAACAATTAAAAAGTTTTTAGTTAGTAAGCTCCAGACCTGATTGATTCCTCTAGTGACAAAACTTTCAGCTGATTTTGAATCTTATTCTTTTGACTCAGAATTGGCATGTAATTAGCTTATCCAATTGAATCTGATGATTCATTTTGCTTGGCTTAAAAATCATGGCGTATGGTTCTAATGCTGCAGAATCTGCAATTGATAGTGTTGGTGTCGTTGAATATAAGCAATACATGCTTGAATAGTTGGTTTTACCATCTTTCTAAAACTATGGCTTGTGGGATACATTGTTTGGGAACTTGAAAGATGTTTTGATTGCTATCTCACCATTTTTCAAATGTCTTGGCTAATTTTAGGGGGATGAATTACTTGCATGAGCATAAACCAGAAGCAATAATTCACCGTGATCTTGAACCTTCGTAAGTTCTCATGTTACATTTTCCTCTGCTCCCCTCTCATGTAGATGTCAATTTTCATTCCTGGTTTGAGATTTTCAGTATGTATTAATTATTTACCTGGATGGCCTGAAGCTATTGGAAATTTCTTGCATGTCTTATGAGTAAGATAACAGAAATATACTTCGGGATGATTCTGGACATCTGAAAGTTGCAGATTTTGGAGTTAGTAAATTGCTGAAAGTTGCAAAGACAGTTAAAGAAGATAGACCTCTAACATATGAAGACACTTCATGTAAGTTAATTGCTTTATGACATAATTTATGATATTTTTTGATAAGAAAATGGAAGATTTATTATTATAAACGGGAAATGAGATTGGTACACATAAAGGCAGGACTGCCAACCCAAAAGACTAAACCCCAGAATACGTATCTGCCCAAAACAATTGCTGCCTCATTACCCCTTGCGTAGCCAGTGAATCATTGAAGCCATTTGCAGTCCTTCCTACGCATTTAAAGTCAGCATTAATATCCTTTGCAATGCTTTACTTCCCTAAATGCATGCCTGAGAGTCCACGAAATGTTTCTGTTACAATTAGTCCAAGAAACAACCAGCTTTGAATCCCCTTCCACGTCCATCTGTCTGAATAGTTCAGCAGAGCCAATAGTTCAGCTTTCAGAGAATTTTCCATGCCAATAGGTCCTGAATATAAAGCTACTATCCTGCTGAAACACCACATATCCCTACCATTCCCGGATTACCACAGGAGCTTCCATCAAAGTTTCAGTTGTATCTTGTTTCATTCAAGAGGTTTCCACTTTATCTTTGTCTTTTTTCTCTAGAGGAGTGTGCCACTTCTGTCCAAGCTCCAAAGAAGTCATTCACAGAGAAGATTTTAAAGCTTTCTAAGGTTCTTGCCCAATGTGCAACCTTTATGTTAATGGTATCAATTACCTCGTCCAAAGATCTGCTCTTTCCATTGAAGGTTCTCCCATTTCTTTCTTCCCAAACACCTGCAAACTTGCTACAGAAAAGAAAGCTAGTTAAGTGCTCTCCCCTCATGTTTGTATTCTCTGTTTGGCTAGTGGTGAGACCCTTCCTCATTTACTAATTTCCCACTCTTTTGTGTCTTGCATTTAGGATTACTTCTCTTCACTCTTTAGCTGCAGATGAGATCACCTACAAGATGTGATTCTTATTTAGTTCCAATTTCTTGCGGCAACAGAAAAAGGGCAAAATGCTTATGGAGGGTAACAAGAGCAGCTGTGGTTTGGACCATTTGGGAAGAAGGAAATCAAAGGATTTTCAATGAGAAGAGTAGATCTAAGGAGGAGGTAATTGAAACAACAAAAATCAGATCTACACATCGGGTAAAAACTGCTGGTACCTTCAAAGAAGTCTCAACAAATGACATAATAAGGAAATGGAAGGAAGTGGCACAAATGGAAACACATAAAGAAATTATCAAGATGGATTGGAAACCTCTAGGGCTAAATAAATTGAAGCTAAACTTTTATGGTAGCTCCTTTGGAAACCCTAGGAGGGCAGGAAGCCATGAATAGGGGAAGTCTTTAGAAATCATCATGGAGAAGTTGTGGATTTGTTCTCAGGACCAATTGGGTATGGAGACTCGGTTAAGGCAGAGATAATGACACTCTTACAAGGCTTGAAATTAGCAGTAAAATTAGAATCTAGAGAATTGGAAGTGGAAGGGGACTCACTATTGGTCATCTCTTGGGCTAAGCAAGTAAACTCAGCACCTTGGAAGCATAGATTTGCATTCAGGGAGATTGACCTTCTTGGTAAGAGTTTTAACTATACATTTGGGTGGGTTAAAAGGACAACAAATGGATCGACAGATACTCTACCCTTTCTTTGGTTGCCTTAAGGATAAAAAATGCCAACTGTAATCTGAAGAGCTATACTCGAAGTAGCAAGGAAGAGAAGAGAACCACAGAACTGAAGAGAATGTCGAACTGTACTATCCAGTCGACCAGTCCTTTATTTATAGATGAACATAGTACAAGGTACAAGAAATTACTGGGATGCCCCTGATTAGTGATGGGACA